CCAATGACACAATTTCATCATCACTCAGATATGCCCTGAAGGGGTCAAATCCTAGGGTGTTAAGATTGGGTTTAGGAGGTACAGGTATTCTAAATGGAGAAGTTTGTAGTTGTATTATAACAGGGATATGGTCAGATCCTACATTTCCACCAGGAGATATACGACAGTGAAAGATGTCACAGTCTCTGTTTGTCAGTACTATATCAGGTGTCCCTGGATGAGGTCCAATGTACGATTTAAAGAATGGGCCTTGAAATGACAAGTTTCTAGCTGTCATGATATTAAAGAGTTGTTTTCCTTTTAAGTCACCCAGTGGAATACCAGCTCCACAGTTGAAGAGGGCAGGGTGATGAGCATTAAAATCTCCCGCTAGAATTGTTGGAATATTCCTACTTAATATCCTATGTAGAGGAATTGACTCTATATATTGTTGTCTCGGGGGAAAATATCCAGTTACTATCACTAGTTGTCCATGAGACGTCATTTCTATTGCAAGAATGTTATCTTCATCAACATGAATATTTTTAAATGTATAGCCTAATTTAAAATAAGATGGCTACTCCACTAAATGGTCCTCTCGATTTCTCCACAGTAGAGTAACCACGTAATTTAATATATTGATCAACTCTTGCAGCTGTCTCGTTCAGAAGTATAACATCGGGATTGTAATTATGTAGTTCAACCTCAAGAAGGTAACGGTTATTAAAGAAATGTTGAACATTAAGTTGGAAAATTGTAATCCCCATTATTTCTTGTTCTTCGCTCGTGTACTGCGGTCTGAACGCCTGCAAGTAATGGGCACGTGTTGTATCAACACTATCCCTGCTGGACTCGTCAAGGGAGGAGGAAACTTTTGCGTAGGTGCTTGTGTATTAAGAATGCCATCATCTTCACTAGAGGTAGTAATATTAACAGACTCATTAGAATCGGTAGAGTCATCATCAGAAAACTGAGGTGTGTTATTCCCTGTTACAGGAAGCAGAGGCTCGTGAGAGTTAATGGGAGACTGTGGAGGCTCCAAGGGAAAAGTAGGCAGGCAAGGTGAGTCACCCTGGGAAAGTTCCTGTTCAACAGGATCACTTCAATAGCGGAGAGTAGGCACCACTTTCTGGGCATTGTTATGTTCAGGTGTTGACTTATCGGGTTGAGGGGAGTTGACAACCTGGGTTTGTGAGGTGGGCGATCCCTGAGCCAGGGATGACTTAGGCTTATTTTTAGATGCAGAGTAGGGAACATACTTCTTGTTATGAGAAGGCTGGTCATAATAGCCTTCACATTTTCTGGGATAGTGATGGGAGTGATTCCCATTAGCCATTAACAGATCATTTAAAAACCTGAGAGCAGAGTTGAATGTCACCACCTGCTATGTCTTCGGCCTCATGTACATTAGTTGTGCTCTCGTCATATCCCCGGCTGTGGATACCTGAGACATAGGAGATGATACTGACCTTGTTGTTGCGTTTGTGTATGGTGTAAGTGAGGGTTAGATTGGAGCGCTCCAAGAGGGGCAGAATTCCAAACATTGGAACCATTGTAGAGACCTGAGGAGTCCCACTTGATCCAGGCAGAGCTGGGAAGGAAGTTTGGGACATCGTTTGCGTGCCTGGGGAGTGGTCTTCTTAGCAGTGGACAGTTTCTTGGCTTCAAAATTTCTGCATTTCCTTTTTCCTTTCAGGACAAATACAGAAACAGCATGATGTTTTCCATTGCAGAGGACACATTTAGGTGTATTTTTGTTGGTACAATCTCTATACGAATGTTGGCCAGAGCAAATGCTACAAAATTGCCTTGAGTTTCTGCATTTATTGTTGTTATGACCAAAGGCATAACACTTGAAACATTGTGTCACACTGACAAAATCGTTCAAGGGAGATTTTGGTCAGGTGTACATCTGGTGCCAAAACATTTGATCCAGTTGAAAACACAAGTTTGGCCTCCTCAGGTGTCTCAAGTATTAGCTTTAAGGTCACCTTGTTGTTGGTAGGATTAGAGAATTTATGTGCTTCTACAGCCAAAGTCAGAATTCCTCGGTGTTAATGTCGTCAACAATTTCATTCACTGTTTCTATGTTTCATGAAACTGTTGATTCTGGCCACAAACACGAGTCCTCTGAGCTTGATAGCTATCAGGTGCAACTGGGGTAACACCAGAAGTCTTGAGTTTTTCAAGCACATCATGCTTCAGAAGTTGAAGTAACTCTTCTTCCGAAGAGAGAAGTACTGCTCCAGCGTGGGTTTGAAAAACATCCACTGGAGCAATAGTTGAGTTGGAGCAAATACATGTGAGAATTTCTTTCATTGACATTTGATTGCCGTCAATGCGTAATCTTACACGTATCCTCGCCATGATGTTGAGGAAGGAACATCTGGCAGAGGAGTTTCTTAACAAAAAGGGAACTTTCCTTGATGTTAAACTAGCATCCTATTTCAGCTGACTTATGAAGGTCAGCTCCTAAGATAGCCTACCCTCGAGTAGTGAGGGGAAAGGGCCCAAGGCAAAGATCGGCTGGATTTTAAAAAACCACACGGGCTACCAGATGGTCAAAATGCCTTGTGTTAACTCGCCAAAGCGAAGTTGCCGAAAAAGAAGAAGATAGGACAGTCAGAAGGATAGCAATGTATGTAGTGTGTTAAGTGTGTGGGCCAGTGTTGATGTATGGGTGAGGGTAGGATGGGGAAGGATGGGGGGATGGGGACGAGAGGGGTGAACAAGCAAGCAAGTCACCGCCTTACCCTCTTGATGGGATGGGGCTCGAAATGACTGCAAGCAAGTCTCCTCTCAGCTCTGGTGAAGAACTACTCAGGATAACCCAAGAAAATTCTCGAGCAACAGTGTTCAGAGTTGCTCAGCTGAAGAACAGGAACGACGACGTCTTCTCTCCACGGTGGCTGGGCTGCTACCTTAATTTGTCTACTGAAGTTGACAACGTATCTACACTTCCACCTTCAACACTTCTTGAAACTGACCAATCAACGACTTCACCTGTCTATTACTATTTCTATTATTATTTCTACACTACTTCTGATTATCCTAAAGAAATGGATGCACAGACATTGATACCCCTCCTCCAGAGTGAAGAAGTCAAGTACATCGTTTGTCCATCACGTTTTCTCTACCTTAGAGAACTCATCAATGTCCTTAATTCTCCAAAGATCGACCAAGATTGCAAATTTAGAATTAGGCACATGTCAATACAGAAGTTCCAGACTCTTTCTAATGGGATAGTAGCTTAACACACCTCAAACTGACCACCACCAATACAACTCAACCTGCTTGGTGCCTTCTGACACTCTCAGCTCCTACCGCTGCCTTCGCCACCCTCTCCTAGTGAGCCAAGTAACGACATCATTCAAGCCTCTCCATCTAAGTCTCCAGTACTTCGGTACAACATGTCCCAAAGTGGTTGGGCCACTTGCCTTGATTCCTCCTCTTCTCCTCCTTCCCATCCTTTTACAGTCATTACCTCATAATTTGTAATATTTTAAAATTAAGATTTAAACTAAGTCTGCCCGAAATGCCTAGTCATGCTAGGTGTTCTAGTGGTACACTCTGTAATCATTATTTTACTACATGTAAACCACACAATAACCAAATTCTGTAAACTCAGCATTGTAATCCTTATAGAGAATAAACTTTGAATTTGAATTTGAAATTCCTTACCCTTCTTCCTTCCCATCTCACGACAGCTCTCGTCGTCTTAATCCTAAAAAAAATCCTACCTTAGCTTGTTCTGGCTAGCTTGGAGTGCTGCTTTCAAGCCTGCTTGAATGTGCTTGCTAAGCCCATGTCAACCACTTGGATATTTGCTTGTAACAGGCAGGTAGGCACACAGGAGACACATTCGTAAGATGAGTGGAGTGCGGCACAGAGAACTGACACGGGCACTCAAGCACTTATGTGGTCTGGCAAAAACCGCCTCTAGACCATGAGTAAATAGAGGCGAATGGCTGAGTTCCAAATCAAGGAAGGAGGGGAGGCAGGCGAGGCAGAGTGAAGGTGTAGCCTCCTACAGCCACTTCAAATCAACCTGTTTGTGTTTCACTAGGTATATCACTAGTCACAGTTCACACATAAGAGTTCCAGCAGCAATTCAGCTGCCATAATCACCGCTCTGCTACAACATCCTGGACTGCCAGTATCTCCACGACTTTAGCAAACATTGGTCCAATAACCTTGGCTCTAATATTCCATCCTCGTGGCCACTGTTATGGTTGTGAGGGATAATTGAAGGCCGAGTACCAACAACAATGTACTCTCTCAAGTTCCCCGGATAAAACCACAAAAACAAAAGACGATCAAACATAAACAAAATAACAGGCAGAGTGATCAGTTTGCACACAGTGATGCCTCATACGTATCTTCTGTGAGACAAAGGAAACTCTTTACACGTTGCTTGCACATTTGCTCCAGCAAATGAGCCATGGAATTACAATTGTTGATCTCATATCATATATCGAAGTCCATGCCAACAATGAGGCTGCAACAGTTTTTAAACCGACTGATCTTATTAAACTGTCTACACTACTCTACAGCATGACTTCAGCAAATGGAAATTGATGCAATAATCACAGAACAAGACAAAGAAACCATTTTTTTTGTCAATTTCCTGATCTGGATGTCATATACTTCTCACTTTTGATATTGGTTAAGTAACTATGATGAGGATGGCATTATATTGAGCAAACTTGCCAGGAGCATCAGGAGAAACGTCATGAAATATGAATATCATTCAATCCTAACTGTCAATAAGATTCTATGTCACAGTCAAGTGAAGAATGCACAAGTGTCTCATTCTTCAACCTGTCTGTTTTCTAAAGCATTGACAGCACATTCTACCAGCGTGTCGAACACTCTTTCATCCCTACACAAATATATATTTATTATGCAAATTAATTTAGAAACGGGTACACATAAGTACAAATATCATTACCTAGGATAACCAAAAATTCAAAGTGACTTATTTCTATTGGGATCCTTAAGAACACAAACTTCATTACCAGTTTTTTCTTCTAACTTCAGATAAACTTACCTGTAAGAATTATGGGACTAATCTCGTCATATTCTCGTAGGGTCCATATTATTAGCTTAGCCAGGTCCAGTGTGTACACAAACTGCCTCAGAGGTTTGCCAGTCCCCCAAACAGTCAGAGATGTTCCATTCTCTTTGGCTGTGTATACCTGGAAATGCAATGATTTTTATTTAGCGTGGTATTATTAATTCTTGGGAGAAATAATGATAACTACTGAAAAATGGTGATGCAGAAAATGGGATCCATGCTGAACAAAACTTAAGCGAAGAAGTAAAAATATACAGGGTCTAAAGCCAGCAACGAACAACAAAATACCTGTCATCCGTAGACGGTTTTCACAGACCCACTTAAAGGATCACTTTGACAATGAAATATGAATCCTGGGATATGACACATATAGATGCGACATAGTGAACAGGCAAAAGGCGGGGGAGGGAGAGATGTGGGGGATCACTGATGATCGGAAATACTAAACGCCTTAAATGATGTACTTGAAGTTTTGGCAGTAAAGATCGAGAGCCAAAACCTGGTCATTGTGGTTGTATACAATCCTCCGGATCCAACTTCCCAACAGTTCCAGGAACAGATTTTGAAAATAAACCACTGTCTGGAAAATCTTCCAGTTCCTGCCCCAAATATCTTGTTCCTGAGGGATTTCAACGTAAGGCGCCTAAAATGAAGGAATGTAGCAAATAATGATGTAGCAGAGATAACCCCAGGAGGCAGCTCAGACGAAAACTCGCACACACATGAGCTTTTAAATCTCTGCACCAAATTCACCTTAAACCAGCAAATTATGGAGCCAACAAGATTGGAGAATACACTGGACCTCATCTTCACTAACAATGATGATCAGATACGAAGTACTACCATATAAAAAAAACAATATTAGATCACAACATAATAGAAGTTCAGACATGTATGCGAGGGGCCCCCAGACCAACAAAATATGATCAGTCACTAGGGAGCCTTCACTAAATTCAACTTCAATAACAAGAACATAAGGTGGGACCGAGTCAAACAGATATCCTAAGCAACACGGATCCAAAACCTATGACTAGAACCAATTAACTCTGTAGCACTCGATGTATGCTCAAGGCATATTCCTTTAAGCAAAATGAAGAGAAGATGTAAACTAGAAAGACAAAGGTGTTCTATACAGGCGAAGTCAAAGAATAACAGAGCGGCTAAAAGAGGCCACGACATCTGTAATACAAAGGGTGGCACTGGCCAGAGAAATAGCAAACATCTAACTTAAGCTAAAGGAATTTTACAGGAGTCATGACATGCGGGAAAAACTGAAAGCCATAAAAGAAATTGAATGAAACCCAAAATATTTCTTTTGGTATGCCAAATTCAAGTCGAGAACAACATCCAGTGTTGGGCCCTTACTTAGACGAGATGGGTCCTACACAGATGACAGCAAGGAAATGAGTGAGCTACTCAAGTCCCAAATGAGTGAGCTACTCAAGTCCCAAATGAATGGGCTACTCAGGCCCCAAATGAGTGAGCTACTCAGGTCCCAAAGGCTTACGCCAAATTCTGACCCTATCATCGGCATGCCGCAGTATACATAGCAATTCGTCAGGCCAACGACATTTTTCCAATCTTCAGTTGTTCAGTTTTGGTGAACCTCAGTTTCCTGTTCTTAACTGACAGCAGTGGAACTTGGTGTGGTCTTGCTGCTGTATCCAGTCACCTGAAGATTCGAAGTGTTGTGCATTCAGAGATGCTCTTCTGCGTACCACTCTTGTAACACATAGTTATCTGAGTTATTGTCGCCTTTATGTCAGCTTGAACCAGTATAGCTATTCTCCTCTGACCTCTCTTATTGTCCACAGAACTTCCGCTCACTGGATGTTTTGTTTTTGACGTCATTCTCTATAAACTCTAGAGACTGTTGTACTTGAAAATCCCAGGAGATCAGCAGTTTCTCAGCTACTCCTCAAAGTACTCGGTCTGGCACCAACAATCATTCCACGGTCATGGTCACTTATATCACATTTCTCCCCCGTTCTGATGTTCAGTTTGAACAATAACTGAACCTCTTAACAATGCATATATTTAGGCATTGACGTACTGCCACCTGATTGGACGGTTTGATATTTGCAGTAACAAGCAAGTGTACATGAGTACCTAATAAAAAGGCCACTGGGTGTATATATACAGGGAACAGTCAAAAAATTTACCACCACAGATGGAAAAATATGGGCATGTATAGCTGCATTTAGTCATCAGTTGTGGCGTCAGCGAGCATTTGTTTATTTTGTTTACAATAGCACTCGGCAAGATCAGCATCCGCCATCAAGGGCCGTCCAAACATCAAGGAACAGTGAACATTTCACACACCTGTAACATTTACACATGCTTCCTTCACCCTCCTCTCCTCCAGTGCAGCACTCAGTGACCCACACGGGTTTAGAGCTTGACTTTTAATACCGTATATTGATAATAATTTCTTTCCAAAAAAAAAAAAACAATGTTTTCTTATATCCTGATGTATTTGTATTTTTCTTTTTTTTGTACATTTTTCTTGAATCTTTCTTAATTTTGATGTATTTTTTTGCAATTTCATCAACCTTGTTTGGCATGTTATTATCCCTGGAGTATACCTTGAGAGGGATTCGGGGGTCAACGCCCCCGCGGCCCGGTCTGAGACTTGGCCTCCTGGTGGATGAGGGCCTGATAACCCATGCTGTTACTGTTGGCCGCACGCAACTCGACGTACGAGCCACAGCCCGGCTGGTCAGGTACCGACTTTAGATGTCTGTCTAGCGCCTTCTTGAAGACTGCCAGGGGTCTATTGGTAATCCCCCTTATGTATGCTGGGAGGCAGTTGAACTGTCTTGGGCCCCTGACACTTACTGTGTTGTCTCTTATCGTGCTAGTGACACCCCTGCTTGTCAGTGCGGGAATGTTGCATCGTCTGCCAAGTCTTTTGCTTTCTTGGGGAGTGATTTCCGTGTGCAAGTTTGGTACTAGTCCCTCTAGGATTTTCCAAGTGTATATAATCATGTATCTCTCCCGCCTGCGTTCCAGGGAGTACAGGTTCAGGAACCTCAAGCTTTCCCAGTAACTGAGGTGTTTTATCGCAGTTATGTGTGTCGTGATGGTTCTCTGTACATTTTCTAGGTTAGCAATTTCACCTGCCTTGAAAGGTGCTGTTAGTGTGCAGCAATATTCCAGCCTAGATAGAACAAGTGACCTGAAGAGTGTCATCATGGGCTTGACATCCCTAGTTTTGAAGGTTCTCATTATCCATCCTGTCATTTTTCTAGCAGATGCGATTGATACAATGTTATGGTCTTTGAAAATGAAATCCTCTGGCATCACTCCCAGGTCTTTTACATTAGTTTTTCGCTTTATTGTGTGGCTGGAATTTGTTTTATACTCCGATACAATTTTAATTTCCTCACGTTCTCCATATTGGAGTAATTGAAATTTCTCATAGTTGAACTTCACATTGTTTTCTGCGGCCCATTTAAAGATTTGGTTGATGTCCGCCTGGAGTATTGCAGTGTCTTCAATGGAAGACACTGTCATGCAAATTCGAGTGTCATCTGCGAAGGAAGACACAGCGCTTTGGCTTACATCCCTGTCTATGTCAGATATGAGGATGTGGAACAGGATGGGAGCGAGTACTGTGCCTTGTGGAACATAGCTTTTCACAGTATCTGCCTCAGACTTGACTCTCATTACTATTACTCTTTGTGTTCTATTTGTTAGGAAATTGTAGATTCATCTACCAACTTTTCCTGTTATTCCTTTATCACGCATTTGGTGCACTATTATGCTATGGTCACACTTGTCATAGGCTTTTGCAAACTCTGTGTATACTATATCTGAATTTTGTTTGTCTTCTAGAGCATCCAGGACCTTGTCATAGTGGTCCAGTTGTTTTGACAGGCAGGAGTGACCTACTCTAAATCCATGTTGCTTTGGGTTGTGTAACTAATAGGTACGTATGAGGGAATGCATATAAATGACCTCGAGGGAGACAGGAGCTGTAGTGGGAAAACAAGTGTAGTCAAGGACAAGATAAAACCAGCATTACAAACTAGTAATACCACAGGAGATAGCAAACAAGGGGACTCCACTTGCAATAGTGAGGATATGTTACTAGAAACAACTGGTGAGAGCTCCATTGTTAGTACTAGTGAGGATAGGAATGAGACAGGTTAACATGCACCAACAGAGAATACAGTCACAGAAACCCAAGGCAAATGGAAACCAAGCCTGTGCATATACTATGCACTTGGTATTTGCAGACATGGGAAATCTGGAAAAACAGATGGGACGTGCAACTTTGACCACCCTAGAAAATGCCGTACCCATATGACAACAGGAAAATGCAAACTCCCTTCCTGTAAGCTTTTTCACCCTGAAATGTGTCCCTCTTCAGTACAGGAAAGACTGTGCTATAACTTAAATTGCCAGGTAGACCATCTAAAGGGGACAAAAAGATACAAAACATCCAGGCCATGGGAAAACCTGGGTAGCCACAGCCACTCAAGAGGGAGAGGTTTTTTAGTGCCAGGAAGGAAAAAGAAAAACTGGAAGGAAATGACAGAAATCGTACGCCAAATCCAGTCATTTCTGGAGTGGAATCACAGTCGATGACTTCCACTCCAAACCAACAGATACAGATACTAGTGCCGGAAAAAAAAGTCCCCCTCCAGTACCACCAATACCACCAGTCCGATGACATTCTTCTTTGCAAATACACAAGGTCTAAAGCCAGCAACGAACAACAAAATACCTTTCAACCGTGGACTGCTTGTAGAGGCAAATGCAATGTTCGCGGCTTTCACTGAGACCCACATAACCTGGAGTTTACCTGGAGAGAGTTCCGGGGGTCAACGCCCCCGAGGCCCGGTCTGTGACCAGGCCTCCTGGTGGATCAGAGCCTGATCAACCAGGCTGTTACTGCTGGCTGCACGCAATCCAACGTACGAGCCACAGCCCGGCTGGTCAGGTACCGACTTTAGGTGCTTGTCCAGTGCCAGCTTGAAGACTGCCAGGGGTCTATTGGTAATCCCCCTTATGTATGCTGAGAGGCAGTTGAACAGTCTCGGGCCCCTGACACTTATTGTATTGTCTCTTAACGTGCTAGTGACACCCCTGCTTTTCATTGGGGGGATGTTGCAT